GAGTCTTCCTCCAATCCTGACGCCACGCTTTTCTTCATAGAACCCAGCTTCTGGTATTATTTGCTCAGCATACAGGTTGAATAAGTATGGTGAAAGAATATAACCCTGTCTCACACCTTTCCCAATTTTAAAACATTCAGTGTTCCCATGTTCTGTTCGAACAACTTCTTCTTGGTCCAGGTACAGATTTATGCGTGGGGAAAGGAGCTCTGGTAGCGTAGTGGTTACGAATCAGGCTGCTAACCTCAAGGTCCGCAGTTTAAAACTACCAGCGGTTCCGCGGGAGAAAGATAAGGCGTTCTGCTCCGGTAAAGATTTACAGCCTCAGAAACCCTGTGCAGGGTCATTAGGAGTCGGCACCGACTCCACGGTACTTAACAACAACAACAAGAGACAACTCGAGGACTCGGAAACTTATCCACTTCTCTCTCCACTGGGCCGCTTTGCTGCCCGCCAGATTCAGATGCAAGAGAGGATTTCGGGTGCGGGGTTAGAACACTTTGGAGCCCGGGGGCGCGCCGGGGAAGAGTGAGTTCCGGGCCGGGCTGGGGCGGGGAGGGAGGGGACAGCCCACTTCTAAGCGGGTGCTGGGGCCTGGGAGGGGCTGGGCCCACGCCTGGGCGGGACCTGAGGCTCGGGGCGGGGCCTGGGCGGGTTGCTCACCCTGTGGTTGTGGCAGCGGGCTGGCCGCAGTCAGGCTGAGCCATGCCGGCGGCGAGCGTGGAGTACATTGCTCCCTGGTGGGTCGTGTGGCTGCACGGCGTTCCCCACCTCGGCCTGCGCCTGCAACCCGTGAACAACACCTTCAACCCCCGGGACGAGAGTTACCAAGAGGTGAGTCCGCGCCACCGCAGACCCGAGCCACCAAGGCCTGGAGGCCCAGAGTTCTCCCCTACGACCCCCCTGCCCCCCGCTTTCCCAGCCCGCCACTACCCCCGGGAGCCCCAGACCTCCCCTTTGCCCCTTAGTCAGGCCAGACCCTTCGCCTCTCTCCCTTTTCTCCCGGGACGCTTGGCCCACGGCCTTTCCAGTCTGGAGAACTGGGGGACTCGGAGCGCTGAAAAGATCGGGGTACAGGAGGCGGTCGGGGAGGCGAGGAGAAGCGCAGAGACCACGGGGCGTGGAACTGAGCGCCGGGGGGAAGGATTCGGCAGTGGGGGCGGCGACTTGAGCGCCTGCCGCGTGTCCCAGGTTGATTTCGGCGTCAATGGGCTGGGTGCCGCGGGGTGCTGCGGGGTTCTCCGGCATCCGAAGCTCGGGAGACTCGGCTTCCGGCACGCTCTGCCTGGGAGAAGTTTGGGCTGAAACTGCCTTAAATCTCCGGAGTTCTCCGATCAGCGCCCCTCCCCCTCTTCTCAGTCCCTGCCCCGCGGGGTGGGACACGTTGTGCTGCAGACCCCTGCCCGGGTCACTACGGAAGAACGCACGCAGAACTAGGCGCAGGACGCGGCGGTGGGTGACTTCCCTCTTGTCCCTGAAAACCACAGCGCGTCTGTTTCTGGGAAGGAAGATGGCCTCGGATCAGATCCGTCCCACACCCGCGTCTTGAGTACCTCACCCCCTTGCTTTGACACCAGCTCTTCTCTTTGGCCTCCACTTGATCCTGAGCTCCCCCATCTCTGTCACCTAGATCCCAATTAGCTAGAGTGGCCTTGAGTTTTGGGGGCTTCTTGCTCAGCCCCTCCCCTTATCCCTGGGTCTCTGCCCACTCCTAGCGCCCTTGTTTCTTTTCTCTAGAGTTTCTGCACCCCCAATGACCGACCGGGAGTCCCCGACCTCTTCTCCCCACACCCTGGTCTGAGCATTCCCGCCCCTGCCCGAGTCCCTTCTCTTTGGTCAAAGATTCTGGAGCGACCCATGTGCACATCTCGGAACTTTGACCCCAGTGCCTCTGCGGGCGGTGTCAACTTCTCAGGCTTGAGCTCCTGGCGTGTAGCTCCTCGGGCGGGGCCTCCTTTTGCAGACTGAGGGAGGTGGGGAATCAGCTGTTGCTCCCCTCCCCCTAGGTCTGGGGGGTGGGGGCGAGGTGTGTGCACTGGCCTATCGCCTACCACAGTGGCAGGAACGCCGATAATAACACAAATGTCCGTGCGCCTTCCAGACTGAGTGGAGAAACCCCCTTCCTGCAGAGGCGGGGACCCTTGGGCGGACTTTGGAGGCAGTCCACTTGGCTCTTTCATCCCTCCTAATCAGTCTGCCCCGCCCTCTCCTGGAGAGTCGCCTCTGGCAGTTTGTGGTCCTGAGAACGCGCCGCCAGCCTGGGGAAAGCGCCAGGGGATCTTCCGTTCCCGCTGAATGCGCGAATAGAGGCGGATATGATTTCAGAGACAGCTGTGGCTTGTTGGAGCTTGTGTGTGTTTGTGTCCGTGTGTCCCAAACCCTGGGCCCCAGATCCTGTCCCTGAGGTCTCCATTCACAGTTTTCTTCTCTCTACTAGTGGAAATCTAAACTCCTGGGTCGGGGTGGAGATGGTCAGGGTACTCCCCGATCCTCTTTTCACCAAAGACAACACTTGTCTGGTCAGCAACTGTGGCCACCGGGGCCTGAGCCTGCTCCACCCCCAGGCCCATGGACAGGTGGCAGCTGGGCATAAAGACCCACACACAGAGCTTGTCCTCTCCTCCTAGGGTTCTGGGCAGCTGTTTCCCATGAGCCTCTGCGCCTACAGTGGACTCAGGCTATGCCTATGCCCTCCCGTTCTACTAGAGGATGCTGAGTCCGGGGGAGAGTGGGCCGGGATGGGAAGTCTAGAACTAGCCCTGGGTGCTATTTACAGCAGCTCCTATTTTCGTAGGTGCCCCTGTGATCTAACCCGCTTGTCAGGCGGTGACAGACAAGTGGTGGGTGGGTGAAGGCCAGCTGATAGGTCTCCTCTGCTGCCAATCATCCACTCCACAAACTGGACTGGGGCCCAGCATTGTTTGGGGTCCTGGTGTGGCTCTGTGGACTACAAAGTCAGTTTGACCACAAGGTCGGTGGCAATTCAATCTCACCAGTCACTCCTCGGAAACCCTGTAACAGGGTCGCTGTGGGTCAGAACTGACTCGAAGGCACTTAACCACAACAACAACAAGCGCTGTCTTGGTAAGACTGATGGTGACAGCCAAAGCAGATGAAGCCTTCGGGAACAGTTTCTATCACTTACTGTGTGACCCTGGGTAGATGTCTCAACCTCTCTGAGCCTCACGTCACTCATCTTTAAGAATTAAATAAATGAGATCTTCCACATAACATGCTTAATCCGTAGAACACAGTAGGACCAATTATTAGACTCATTAAAGGAACTGATCGTGAGTCTCAGCTATGTGTCCCAAGTACGACGCCTGCTGCCGGGGATTAGAGAACAGAGGTCTTTAGAAAATGATCAGGAGGGATCAATCCTCATGGCTTCAGCTTCAGAGAAAAGTGCAGGCTTGTGGTTTCCTGTATGTGCGTGTGCATGTGTGCGTGAGTACACAAAAACAAAAGACTAAATTGAGATGGAATTCTGGAGAGGCGCTGTGGGATAAAGCACTAGACCATAAGGTCATTTTGAATCACAAGGTCGGTGGTTCAAACTCACCTGCTGCTCCTCAGAAGCCCTATGCAGGGTGGCTATGAGTCGGAACCGACTCATTGGCACTTAACAACAACAAACAAGTAGAGATGGAATCCTGGTGTGACACTGTAGATACGTCCTGAACTACTAACCACAAGGTAGGTGATTTAAACCCACCAGCCACTCCTTGGAAACCCTATACAAGGTCGCTATGAGTTGAAGCTGACTGGATGGCATTACAACAACTTTGTCTGTAGAGCCTGGGGAGAAGTTCAGGATGAGATGAGTTTATAGAGGATCTAGAAGGCAGAGTGTGGAGTAGGGGGTTATAGACGATCAGATCAGAGAGAGCTGAAGGTTAAGTTGCCTGATGAACTGGGGTCTCCTGACCCAACTCAGTGTCTCAACTTCCCTGAGAAGGTAAGCACTCCCCCTCTGGAGTCTTCCGGAGCACTGGAAACCCAGGTCTTCCCAGTGGTTTATCTTCCAATGTTGTTGTTGTTAAGTGTCGTCGATTCGGTTCCGACCCATAGCGACCCTGTAAAGGGTTTCTGAGGCTGTAAATCTTTACGGGAGCAGAAAACCTCATCTTTCTCCCACGGAGCAGCTGGTAGTCTCGAACTGCTGACCTTGAGGTTTGCAGCCCAATTCGTAACCACTACGCTACCAGAGCTCCTTTTATCTTCCAATAGTAACCTTGATCTCTAGTCCCCACTAGCTAGGCTGTTTAGCTTGTGTCCACCAGGTCTCCTGGAAAGGCTGACTGTGGGTGGGCTCCAAGGAAAGGCAGGTGGAGGTGGGCCCCTAGCTCTATCTGTTGTGACTCTAGGTCTTAAGAGGACACACTGCTGACCCTTCTCATTTGCCCCAGGGTAGTAAGAGGATCGGATGAGTTAGTGGATAACCATCTTGTGCCCAGTACCAGGTTCATCATAAATCTTCTCTGTCACTGCCCCCCTAGCTGACCATGTTGGGCTATCAGAGCACCTGGTGCTCGGTCCAGCTGTGTGTCCTCCTCTCTAAGATGTTGGTGGCACCACCATGACCCACCCCGCTCCTTCCCTCCTGGGGAGACCAGACACTGGTTGGGGGATGCATTTGAAATCCCTGGTCAATTTCAGAATGCCTGGCCAGCATTGTTACCATTGTCAACAAGCAAGAACCAGCATCTTCTCCCTGGATCACACTTAAAGAGGTCGAATTGATTTTTTAATATATTCTGTGTGTTTCATTCCATTTCGCACACTCTACAGAGAGACCCACATGATGTCCTCAGACCTGGGGGAGGGTGCAGGATGAGGCCCCACCCTGACCCCACTCTGAGACTTCAGGCCAGGCAGAGAGCCCAGCCTGGTTGGGATTGGCTGAGATGGGGAAGCTCCATTCATCCCATCTGAACACTGAGTCACCATCAGCGGACAGTCACGCTGGCCCGAGACAGGGGTGCATGTCTCCAGAGTCTTGGGGCCCGTGGGCTCAGGGTTCTCCCCCCACTCCCATGCAGAAGCCCCTTGGAGTTCAGATGCAGTGTCCTAAAAAATCCCCAACCAAATCTATTGCTTTCAAGTTGATTCCTACTGGTAACAATCCTTTTATTGTGCCGTTGAATCACTTGAAACTCACAGCTCCCCCTGTAAAGGGTAGAATTTCCCTGTTGGATCTCCAAGGCTGGCAGTCTTTGTCAGAAAGGCCATGTCTTTCTCCTTCAGGGTGGCTAGTGAATTTGAACCAAGCACTTGGCCAGCACTTCCCAAATGCACATGCTGCCCACCACTTGCATGCTTCTTGAATTGGGTTTCTGGCTACCAAGTGACAAGCAGAACAAATTGAAGTCTCTTTGATGAAGGAATACTATGAAGCAGTTTTACCCTGTCCTATAGGGTTCTATGGAGTTCTGGTGTGAGTCGTTTGAACTGCAAAGTTGGTAGTTCAAGCTCACCAGCTGCTCCTTGGAAATCCTATACAGGATCGATGTGGGTCGGAATCGACTCAACAGCACTTACCAACAACAATGTAGGGTCCTGTAGGGTCACTAATGAGTCAGAATGGTTTTGAGTTTGATACGGGGAAAGGAGGATGGCTAGAGAGATTGGGGCCGGGGCACAGCGATGTGGGCCATTGTGCTTGGTAAGGTCTGTTTTTCAGGGCAGGAGAGCACATAAGCAGATCTGGTTCCTTCTGGGACTGGGAGGTTCTCTCCCACCCCACACCCCACGCACATGGGACTTGAAGCGTTCATTAGGAGCGAGGGAAATAATTGCCTATTACGGAGCGCAAGTGATTTACACCGTCGCGG